GAGAAAGGCTACCTTTCTTTAACAATGGAGAGATCTGATGGTCACCATCTTAACCAAGTAAAAAAACGTACAATCATCAGTAATCAGAGGAACTGTCATTACATGCATCCTGATGATGAGGTGGGAAGTACACAATACTGCCAACATAGTCTTGCTAAAAATGTTTAACTGACCCAGAAATAATCAAACAAATTCAGAACAGTGGACATTCTATAAGTCAATAGTATTCATCCAAAAAAAAATGAAAGTCATGAAAACAACAAGAAATTTTATAATCATAAAATAAAAGGGGCTAAAAGGACATTAACTAAATGCAATTTGTGAACCCCGACTGGATTTGGGACTGAGAGGAATAGAATAACAGCCAAAAGAGACATTTTTTGGAGAACTGGATAAACCTAACTATGGATTGTGTATTAGGTGGTATTAATGAATTAATGTTACATTTCTTAGGTGTAATAACGGTTTTATGGTTATCTAGAACAATGTCACTCTTAGGAGATTCATATTAAACTTTTTATCGGTGAAGTTTCATGTCTGCAACTAAATTTTAAATGGTTCAGGAAAACAGGCTGTATGTACACAGGCAGACCTAGATATAGATAGAGATGTAGATATAGTAAAGCAAGGTGGTTAAAAATATTAACTGGGAATCTAAATGAGAAGTGCAGAGGTATTTGTTATACTAGTCTTTCAACTCTCCATATAGATACGAACACAAAAATCTTAAATAAAAGTCTAGGTAAAACTTCAGTTAACATGCTATGTGGCAAAACTCTAAAACATTAAAATGTGCATATCCTACAGACCCAGCAGCTATACTCCATAAAGAAACACTCACTTACATGCACAGAAAGAATACACAAAGGTGATGAAAATATGTGATTACATGTGACTGTATTTCATAAAGTTGCACCCTTCATCTGCAGAGATGGTCTCCTTTGCTGACTCTGATGAAGCAGGCGGCTATGGTGGGAGGCCCACACGGCAAGAAACTGAGGGCAGCTCTAGGAGCTAAACGTGGCCTGCAGTTGAGTCTGATCCTCAAACCCTGAGTCCTATAGTTGCAAGAAACTTATTTCTGCCTACAACCACACGTGAGCTTGAATGTGGATCCTTCAGGAGTCCAGCTTCAATGAGATGGCAGCCCAGCCAACACTTTGACTGCAACGCTGAGAAACCCTAAGCAGAGAACCCAGCTAAGTCATGCCTAGACTCCTGACCCACAAAAACTGTGAGGTAATACATTTGTGTTATTTAAAGCACTGAGTTTGTGGTAAGTTATTATGCAGCAATAGAAAACTAATACAACACAGATACATGAGCATTCACATTCAAATACAGGTTGACACAGAAAACACAACAAATGTATCGCAGATACAGATATTTAAACAAATACCCACATTTAAAAGACTAGACAAGTGAGATGGCAGGAAGAATGAAGATTTGTAGATAGCTAAGTGACTGAAGGTAGACAGTGGGAAGGAAAACTGACAGCTGAAGGAGCCAGCTGAGCAGAGCAGAATGATTTCAAAGGAAATACATTGTTAGCATTTGATTTTATAAAAAATAATGTCATAAACATACATGATCTAATGTAATTTGCTCACCCAACTCATAACTTGAAGAAATCTCTGTGGATAGAACACATTTTCCACATCTAGTAAAGTGAGATAAGACTGAACTGCATAAAGCCTTAATTGTTGATCTTCAGTTTCATCATCAAAACCTACAAACAAATTGATACATCGTTTTAATTTTCATTAAATTCTCTAAGGACTCTGTAATAAAAACATTTAATTTTAAAATCCTTACAGAATGCAATAATTCACTAACCTTCTGCTAGTAGTCTTAGGAAGTTATTGGGAATATCAGGATGCATTACATCTCCTCCCACAGAAAACACAGCATTCATTGTCTGAATAAACCATGCATTATCAGGAGCATATGTGTCCACAGTGTTAAGAACAATTACAGTTCTAAATACCATTGATTAAAATTATCTTTTCTGTATCAACCTTTTAGAAAATAACAATTCATCCTAGTTCAGCATTTTTACCTTTAATTTCTGCCAATAAATGTTCCATACTCACTTTATATAAAACAGGTATTCAGTAAAAGCTTATTTAATAAACTTAATAAACTGAGTTCATGTTGCTTTATCTAGCATGATGCCTTGCACATAACAGCCACCCAAAAAACGTGAAATAACTGAAAGAAATGTTCCAGCTAACTA